GGCAATGCAGTTGCAGAAAAAGAGGCATTTAAAAAAAAAGTGTCAAAATAATTACCACTTTCTCACTAAATTTATTTAAAAATGCAAGCCACCAGAGCTACCTTTTTTTTAAGAAAAGACAAATTAATTTTTTTTAGGCAATCCACCACAGCTACTTTAATACAGTCAGTCAATAAAGTTTAGGTACAACGAATTTTTTACAATACGGGCAACTATTTTTTTAATATTTTAGTTTTCGGTAATTTTTTATAAAACTATGGTCAATTATACAACAAAATCGCCAAATATCAGAGTTCCAAAATTTAAAAAAATTCTGCAAAATTTCATTAAAATAATTCACTTTCTATTTACGCTCTCTAGAAAAAGTTTTTTAGCCCATTCAATTTTAGTATAATGAAGTGCAAGTGTGAGGAAGCTAGGACTTACCAAACAACAAAAAAAAAGTTGCTAAATATCAATGGTAAGTCCTAGCTACCTCAAACTTGCACTTTGTTATACTAAAATTGAATGGGCTAATAACTGAGTACTTAACTTTTTTCTAAAGAGTGTAAATTGCAATACTTGGATGGAAATTCGCAGTTTTCTTTAATTTTGCATAAGGTTTGGAACTCTGATTTTTGGGGTTTTTGGTGTAGAATTAACCATATTTTTATAAAAAATTAGGGAAAAATAAAATATTTAAAAAATAGTTGCCGGTATTGTAAAAACTTCACTGTACCTAAACTTTATTATTTATCATTTTTAAGTTAAGTACGACAAAAACTTTTTTGTACTTCATATACATATAAGCTTAAAAAGAACTGAATTTACTTAAAATACAAAGACATGTAATACAAAGTGAACTAATATTTTTACTTTTAAGCAGAACGCACTTTTGTTTTTTACTTACTACTTAAGTTTAATACTACTACTACTACTAATGTGGTTTATAAATTTTTAATAAATGCGTTTAAACATTTGTGATTGTATTGTCCTTCCTTCAACCGATCGTATTTAATATAGAAGGGAAATGTTTCGACAAGCCTGATTAGAAATGTAGATCTAAGGTGACGAATTTATAACAGGTTGGGAACTATAAAAAATGGATGCAGATCGAACTAGATCTCATCTGTCGAATTCGGAACTGGTTTGGAACTAAAGAAAAGGGGATGCAGAACGAACTAGATCTCATCTGTCGAATTTGGAACTGGTTTGGAACTATAGAAAAAGGGATGCAAAACGAACTAGATCTTATCTGTCGAATTTAGAACTGGATCGGAACTAGAGCCAAAGGGATGCAACGGGGGACAATTGACACTTCCTAGGACATCGCAATGTTAAATTCGCCAGTCGCTAGCATGCAAAAGAGAATTAACGCGTACTAGTCATGGTTCCAAACGCACTAGAACCAAACCGGTTCCGCACTAGTTCGTTTCGCCACAGGGTGGACTTATCAACTTTTCACTCTAAGGTAGCGAATGAATTCCTACACTACATTATAATTTTGTCCTCTAAAAATTATCAATATGATTAGTTCTTTCAGAAATGCTGTTGAACAGTGTTGTAATACAGATAACTTTTACCAATTAATTAATTTGTATGAAATAGACTATAAAATAAAAGTTTTTGATCTCAATCGCTTATTCTTTGTACAAAATAAATATTTATGTAAAACAAATAAAATGCGTACATAAAAAACGAGGAACTTTGCATTTTTTCTTGTATTTCGGGAGGCCATCATAGTAAAATATGTTTTAAAACTTTAAGTTTTTCTTAAAAAGATTAAGTACGTTCGCTATAATCGAAAATGATAGACATAAGTTATTTTTAAAAAAATTGATATATATGTGATAGCGTTATTTTATAAAAACAATTCCTATATACATAGGTACAAATGTCGATATAAGTAGGTATCGATACCTTTAGCTCGATACTTAGTAGATATCGATACTTTCTTTCGATGCTTTTTTCAAGTACAGGTATCGACACTTCCATGGTATGCCCTCTTTAGCACGCTTTTATTAGCTTCACCTGTATGTTTAATAGTAATTAGCTACAACAGCTACAGAGTTGAAAAATACATATATCAAATGAAAGTCCCAATGAGTACATTGACACAAAGTTATGGCAGTTCATCTCACGTGAGATGCATAAGGAATGGTAATCCCGGGATCCTGGTACCTCGGTCTTTTTTTAAGTCCCGAAAATCCCGGGATTATTTGCCTAGAATCCCGGGATTTTCGGGATTTGTAATTTACACTGGTGGCAATAATAGAAACGTTTTATATACTTTTAGCTTGGTTGTTATGGAATAAAATGCAATAATAATTTTTGGCACTGCAGGTGTTTTTATTTAGGTTAAAATATCGCCAATAAATTATATAATATAAGAAATACTATCTAATTTATAACGAATAACAACTCTAATATGATTTCACAGCATTTTTTAATAGTTCCAAGTATCTATTAACATAAATGCATTTTCCAATACAATTATCATACATTTTATTTTCGATAAAGTTTCGGGTTTTACTTTAAGGCATTCTTGTTTATTGTCATTGTAAAAGCTAAGCGAACGGGAAACTGAAGTCTTTTGAATTCGAAAGGCATATCAGAAGGAATTAAAGGAGTTTTGTGACTTATGGTTCCGCAATTATGGCTGATAAAAAATTCCACGCCTATATTATGTGCCACGCCCCCATTTACAAACTCATTTATATAAACTTTACTATAAGCACTTACCATTGACATGTTTGCATACCAAATTTAAATTTTATGACTCCAAAGTTAAAGCTGATTAAAAATTTGCAGGCCTATGGGAGGTGCCACGCCCCCTCGCAAAATTAACACCATATTTGCAAACAAAGCCATACCTACATATAACCTTCCCGGGGTAAAAAAAATAACTGAGCGAAGTTTCGTGCGATTTCGTTTAGTGGTTCAAAAGTTTTAAGGTAATAAACAAATAGACATTCACATTTATATACATATGTATATAGATTTACAATTTTTTTTATAAATGTGTAGCTCAATAGACATATAATACCTTGCGGCAGGCAATTTTGCACACAAAAAAAAATTAATATATTCGCCAAACCAAGGGCCAAATATAGTAAAATTGCGTTCTTAATTTTTCTCTCTGACGTCAGGATTTTTTAAAAGAACTTTGAAATTTGAAAGATATGAGTAATTCAAAAAATGATTTAAAAATTTCGGTGCAATATACTTAAGACACCAGTATGGGTATCAAATGAAAGAAAAGATTCTGTAGAGTTAAAACATTACATTTTTTGGTCCGCAAGGGACGGGTAGGTATTGAAAATACTCTTTTCTAATTTTATTTGAAAAAATTTTATGTTAAGGACAAACTTTATTAGCTTAAATAATAAAATAGATTAAAGGGGCATTTTCAATTNCCTTGAACATACTTGAAATTTTTCAATTCTTATTTTTGAAAAAGTTTTATGTTAAGGACAAACTTTATTAGCTTAAATAATAAAATAGATTAAAGGGGCATTTTCAATTCCTATTCGTCCTTGTGAACCCAAACTAATTATTTCATTTGGTACCTATACTTATGTTTTACATTGCACGGAATTTTCTGAAATAAATTTTGGAATTAACCATATCTTTGACATTATAACGAGCCAAAATAACGTAAGCGACATTTTTAAAAAAAATTTCGTTTTGATGCAGAAATGCATCTAAATCAGAGGTGGGCACTTTTTTGCCCGCGCAGTAGTGAAAGTGCGGGCGTGGGCTAGAGAAAGGGAAAAACAGCTTGCGGGAGGAAGGGTATGAAAAGTAGCGAAACAATTATTTTTACCTCCACCGACATCATGTTCATCGCAGTACGGCTGCGTAGAGCTCGAAAACTATCGATGGTACTATCGATAGTATGGATGGTTTTTGTAAGCAGTATCGATAGTTCTCACTCATACATACATTATTCAGTAACATACATATTTCAGAGCGCAGAAGCCAAAAATCGTTGATAAACTTGTTCCTTAAAAAAATATGGACAAACTTATTTTAGAAATTCTGATCTCATTTTAAATAAAAGTTGTTATGTTTAATTTTTGGCCCTTTTTAATCGAAACTATCGATAGTATTATCGATAGTGTCGACATTTTCGATAGTATCGATACTATCGATGGTTGTGACTATCGACTATCGAAACTATCAATGACCACGACCATCGATAGTTTTCCAGCTCTACGGCTGCGGTAATACTGTCTTTGTGCACCAAACAAAGAGCGTACATTTTCCACATATACCCAATAACTACGGTGACCATATTAACTAACGTAAAATAAAGGACATTTTTTCTCAAAATGATTTGGGAATACGTACATACAACTTGTATGATAAAAGTACTTTACCCATATCGTAATTTAAATCAAATATTTACCAGTTAATTATATTATTTAATTGTACAAGTTCCCCTGTTGTAGCGAAAAATGAAGCCAAACCCTTTTTAAGGACTTCGCCACCCTTTGCTACTAAAATGCGTTTACCATAATTCATACTGCACGACGAAGCCAGCACACAGTGGTTCCAAATTAGTATGTAATGTTCATAATTCACCGGAGCCTTCATTTTAAACCAATTTTTACTAAAAACCAAAAAAACTAGTTATTTTTGTGAACATTTTTTATAACATTTCAAAGTTTTTTTTTATAATTTTTTCGTTTTGGGAGAGCCATACAACTGTTTTCAACTAGTTTTTGTTATGTGACATTTATTAACTGGACCAGGAGAATACATTTTCTTAAAAATTGCTACTTTTTTGCATTTTGCACTAAAAAATTTAATATAATCAAATAAAAAATCACACATCAGGCTCTACTGGACTCTAGCAAATATTGTAATCTTTCATAAAAAATTAAATAAAAATTAATCAAATTAAGGGAAAAATGAAGTCTCCAGTGAATTACGAACACTAGATGCCAGTTTTGAACCACTGTGCGGCAGGGGGTTTATTGTTTTCTTTCAATGGAACTGGAAACTCAGCGCGCAACACGATCGTCCTTTATAGATTGTACAAAGATTACTGATTATATATAAACCCTTAGGTGGGGGCGAAAAAAACTCGCGAAGGTTTTCATTATATTTTGTAAGGGAAATTTTTATTTTTCATATTCTGTGTTTAAAATTTACCTATGTATTTAGAGCTGATTTAGAGGACAGTTCAAGAAATACAGGACAAAAGGCGTCCTTTATTTTGAAAAAAATTATAAAGGACAGGGGGTNAAAACTCGCGAAGGTTTTCATTATATTTTGTAAGGGAAATTTTTATTTTTCATATTCTGTGTTTAAAATTTACCTATGTATTTAGAGCTGATTTAGAGGACAGTTCAAGAAATACAGGACAAAAGGCGTCCTTTATTTTGAAAAAAATTATAAAGGACAGGGGGTTAAAATAAAGGACTGTCCTTTAAAATAAAGGACGGATGGTCACCGTACCAATAACCCATCGTACGGACTTTGCTCCGATAGGAGTAGATTTGTTCCGTTTTGTCGAAATAATTTGAAACCTAGTCCTCTACTCCGCTCAACTGAAAATCTGCTCGGTTTTGTTGCATCAACAAATTTACTCTTCAAATAGAAAAGAGGTGGGGTTTTTGATAGCAAATTAAAAGTTATATTTTACCTTTTTATCGACACGATTGTTACATTGGTGAGCTACAGCACCTTCAGTGTTGCCATTTTAGCCTTTTGCCGGCTAGATTTAGCCGGTTGCCATAGCAAACAGCCAGAGAAATTTCGGTTTAGCCGACAGCCAATTTGTTAGCCGTTTTGTAAAAAAATAAGCCGTTTTTAGCCGATTTTGCTATTTGCCTTGTTTTCTTAGGGGGCCTCTCGCTCCCTTCCCTTTTGTTTCGACAAAAATTACGTACGAAAAAATGTAGTAAAATCTTATTTTGACACACAACAACAAAAACATAAAAACATGAGATCATGAGATCATTGAAACGTACACCAACAAAACAAACAACTTATCACAACTAAGCACAGAGAATTTTTCACAATGCTTGCACATTTTTTTGTTCTTTATAAAAATACCGTTTATTCTAAATACATTAAAAAACATAAAAATACAATTTCCAAACTTTGTGCAAAACTCGGAAAATGCAATAAATTTGCATGCAAATTTACACCTTTCTAATCAGACTTTTTATACAAATTTTGAAAATGAAGTTTTGCAGTACATAAAAATTTAGTTTTTTGGTATTGTTTTTACTGAGCGTTTCTTCCATAAAAAATATGTTCGACAAGTTTTTTTTATATGGAAGACACTGTCAGCAAAAAAATAAATAATTGCAAAAAATCAACGAAATTTTCTGGTAACTTCAGACTTGCACTTTAATAATTGGCTCAAAAGCTACATTTACAAAATTTTTCTAAAAGATCTGATTAGAAATTGTGATCGGATGAAAGAGTCTCCGAGCCAATAATTTTGTACGGAGCTGTACTTATAAGTACTCTAGGTTTCATGAAAGAGAAAATATTTAAGCACAAGATAACATTAAAATATCAGTAATTTCTTTCATTGCTGTGAACTTGTTTCAAAACTTCTGGCTTTTGCTTAATATAATTGTAAAACTCTGCGCATGTCATTTTAACGTATTTCGGTACTTATATGAATCATCAGCTATTGCTAGTGCATAACGTGCGAAATTAAAAAAAAATATGTACGCATATAAAAGAGCGCCAACCCAACTCGTAATACATTTAAGTATACAAATTTTAGTACTTCGTACAGAAATATTCAATTCAAATACGCCAATATTAAAATGAAGCGCTAAGCACTTAACGGGTGCTTTTTCATAATTAAGTTAAAAAAAAAATGATATAAATTCCATGCTGCCTGTAATGGGATTAGAAACCTGACCCTCTGGAAATTAACAAATTGTGGCAAGCAGCTCCGCGCACTCAGCTACAGCCAGAACTATAAATGTGCATTTAGATGTTCAGTTTGCTTCAATACCACGCATGCGTGGTATGAAAGTACTATTTTTATTTCCCCCAGTAAATTCATAACATTGTTCTTAATATTACAACACGTTTTTTCTCTTTCATTTAAATTTTGTGCAATCAAATCGAAAACCGGGACACTTAAACGAAACCTGGGACATTTTAAGGTAGGACCGGGACGCCGGGACAAATAGTCTAAAACCGGGACATGTCCGGGAAAACCGGGACGTCTGGCAGCCCTAGATATAGTGCCAACACATAGAGTAAATATTACAGATATTGTCTTCCCAGATAGCGGGTATTCAATTCTGCCTTAATTACAAAACATCATTGTTGCCCACGCCTAAAGGTTTAAGGTAAGGGAAAAATTGATATTTTCAACCACTATATATACTAGACTGCATCACAAAAAAAGAGTTGCGGTTTTCCGCCGCATTTTAAAACATCCACCAAAATATTTCGGAAAAATATTAAGATTTAAGCGAGCTGGACCGATTTGAAAATACCTCCAAAAATTGAGTTTTTTGTGAATAAAAATAGTTTCTTAAAGGACTTTTTGAAAAAGGTCCCCTCAGATGACAAAACAAATTAGGCTTAAAAATTCTGCATAAAAATATTTAAAAATATTTTCAACGGAATCGTAATAATGAGATTTTTGATGCTGTTTTTTTTTACTTTTTTCAAAGATTGATTTACGAAAAACTTAAATAACTGGGCCAAAACTATTCTGATTTAGAGTTGTGGGATCTCGGTAGAAAGGTATTTTCCCACTATATTTATTTATTTTTTTTTTTTTTTCAAATACCAACAAATCTTAATTCAACTTTGAATGATATTCGTTCATCCTACCTTTCTCTTACATCCTTTGAATTAGAAAGAAATAAAAAGGGTGAGAAAATACCTTTCCAATGATATCTCACAAGTCTAAATCGGGAAAGTTTAGGCTCANTTCATTAGCAAAGAAATAAAAAGGGTGAGAAAATACCTTTCCAATGATATCTCACAAGTCTAAATCGGGAGAGTTTAGGCTCAGTTATTCAAGTTTTTNAAAGGGTGAGAAAATACCTTTCCAATGATATCTCACAAGTCTAAATCGGGAAAGTTTAGGCTCAGTTATTCAAGTTTTTCTTATACCAATCTTTGAAAAAAGTTGAAAACAGCATCAAAAATCTCATTATTACGATTCCGTTCAAAATTTCTTAATAATTTTTTAAAAATAGTTTTACGCAAATTTTTTAAGCTTAAACCGTTTTGTCATTTGAGAGGGTTTTTTCAAAAAAAGAAATCTTTAAGAAACTATTTTTATTCATAAAAACCTCCATCTTTGGAGGTATTTTCAAATCGGTCCAGCTCACTATAATCTTAATATTTTTTTGAAATATTTTGGTGGACGTCTTAAAGTATAATAGATTTTATAATTCCAATGGAAAAACAGTACCGATTTATTTTTTGTATGGGGAGTGATGTAGTCTAATGTATACGTATGTATTTAAAGAAAAAAAAAACTTTTTGCTGGGAACTTATATTCCAAAAACCGAAACGGAATTAAGAAAATAAAAGAGCACAAATTTTTATTTAAAGCAAAACTCTCTGGGAAGACAATAGGTTGGTTTGTCGAAAATCCAGCGAGAATTATCACTTAAAATATCAGACAGTGAGATAAATTTCCCCAAATTCTCTCACAAGTAGAGAAACTTGCAAATTTCTGCACAAACGCATATTTGCAGGAATTTGTAAGTTTTTCTGCCAGCTAGTGTCCAAGGTTGCATTTCAAACATAAGAAATTTGTATAGACATTTTAAATTTTTTTCAGAGGGGCTGAAAACAGGATCTACATGTACTATATTTCTTGTTAGTCTAAATTTCTTCAACATACGTTTCAATTTCTTTGTCGTAGTAACCAGGGCTTCGGAGCAAATATTTTTTTTTATCGCTCTGCTCTTGCTCCGCTCCGGTATTTTATTTCGCTCCGAGCTCCGATCTTGCTCCACTCCCGCTCCCAATAAAAACTCTTAATTTATTTATTTACATATTTACCCCTTACCGCCAAAAACGTAGGCGAAATTTTTTTGAAAACTTTCTTTTTAATGCATCTAGATATGTGCATGCATACACTTCTGCATCCAGAAGAAAACTTAAAAAAATTCCAATTTAATTAAATAGAATGGAAATTTATTTAAAACGCTTGTTTCCAGTGACAAAGATTCTTGATTTCGTACGAATCGAAAATCATGAAATTTTCCTATCATTTTGTATTAAAAAATTTCAAGTTTTCGGCCTCAAGTTATTATTGATAATTTTTTGGTAAAAGGAAAATAAAAATATTTCAAAATAAATCGTAACTAGGCCAGAAAAAAAAACCTGAAAATTTATTTTAAGGAACTAAGGAGCAAATTAATTTCGTTAGCTCTTTGCTTCTTTGCTCCGCTCCACCCCAAAGCCCAACCATGTGCCACAATCATACGTTTTTCGTATTGCAAATTCTTGCTGGCACAATTTTTCCCAGCTTGAATTGGCAACTTCTCTCCAAGAACTAGTCTTTCTACATAAGATTTATTTAAATAAAACATGTGAAATTTAGTTGAAACAGTTTAGTCGTTTTTTGCCATTTTTTTTTCCAATTCCAAAAAGTTCTGGCAACACTGAGCACCTTTGCAAATACACTTGAATTCGTGAATAGGCCCTCACAATCGGCCTATTTGAACCCTATCGAAAAAGATTGCTCTGTCTAAAGTTCAGTAATTGCGTCGTTGTCCACCGATGAAACAATTGTCCCGGTAAAGACTGAATGAAGTAACTTTTTATTAATTTTAACCAAGGCATTTTTTATTTAATTGAAAATTCCCCGTCTCAAAAGATTTTCCCATGTACATATGTACATATATTATTTATCATATTATTACTGGGACGCAAACGTGACATTTATATACGAGAATATTTTGAATCTGAAGGTAGATTTTTAAAATGCAAGGCATGTGGAGAAAGATTNCGGTAAAGACTGAATGAAGTAACTTTTTATTAATTTTAACCAAGGCATTTTTTATTTAATTGAAAATTCCCCGTCTCAAAAGATTTTCCCATATACATATGTACATATATTATTTATCATATTAT